TGCATTGGCAACTTGCTTTAGGGATTAGGAAGCTTTTTCTTTTATGTTGGGATTTGAATTAAGGTTCTGAGGATATAATGAATTTATGACATGGATAGGGGATCATATTTCTCATGGAGGGAATTTGGAATGCCAGTAAATTCGGGATGGAACACAGGAATGCCTGCAACCTTCCTCAACTTAGAGAATAGTCAGGTCAAGTGATGTTTCCATGCCTCAGATGTCTTTCTGAAAAAAAAGGTAGCACTGCTATGCATTGTAAGCTTGAAAATGCTGGCCTACTAATCAGGGTTGCTTGCTGAAATGTAAACTTGTAGCTCTGTTATCCAAAGAGCTGTAATAATGAACATGAGCCTGCTGTTACAGTTTGCACTGTGTGCTCCCTTGCCTTGAATGCCCCAGTTTCCTGTTTCAGTCAGGACAGATCATTTGGCTGGCTTCTTAGACTTTTACATCAGATCTCCCCATATCCTTGTAAATCAAAGCAAGTATTTCACAATCCCATTGTATGAGGAGATAGCTGAGCCTCAGGATGTTTCAATGACTTAATCAAAGTCAGACAATGGTGAGTCTCTCCAATTGGCCTTGAAATAAAGAGCTCTGGCATTTGCATTAGAATCCTCTTCATTCTGCTCAACCTGCAGTGACTCAGGCCTGTCATCCCAACCACAAAGGAGCCTGAGGCAAGAAGAGCACAAGTTCCAAGCCTGCCTGGGCAGCTTAGTAAGAGCCTGTCTCAAAATAAAAAGATACAAAAAGTGCTAGAGATGTAGCCCAGTGGTTGAGTACTTCCCCAGGAAAAGGAGAGGAAAGGAGAAAGGGAAGGAAGCAAGGAGAGAAGAGGGAAGGGAGGGAAAAAAGAGACAGAAGGAAAGAAAAGAGGCGTGGGAAGGAGGGGGAAGAAAGAGATTGCTTAACCCCGCCTTCTGACTGCTCCCTCCACCCCTTTCCCGTCCCTGCCTCCTGCCCACCCGTTCTTCTCCCAGGGACCACAGCTGCCTCTACCCTCCAGTGAGAATTCTTCACCTTCACAGGCTTGATGTCATGCACCCAGCTCTAGGCCGAGGATCGCACAGAATCACGAGCCGGGGATCCTGTAACTGGAGCGGCATTACACCTGACCCCTCCCAAGATGTATGCAATAGTGTCCGGCAGTGGTGAGGAGCAGGCTGAGTACTAACTTGTTATCTTCCAGGAAATCGAAACTGAGGCTGTCCGTGCTTGCAGTTAATTGAGTGCTTCCCCCAGCGAGTGGGAGACTGCCCTGCAGACACCTAATCACCCCAGGGTGAGTCAGACTCACATGATTGGCAGGTGAGGGAAATAAATGGAGGCATCCCTGACTCTTCTACTTATATGGAGTGGCCTGACTTCTCTTGAAGAAAATTATTCTCTGATTTAGCACCCCAGTCACCATGGGACGAGTCCATAGCTGGGCTGAAGATTACATGGAAATCACACAGCATACCACCCCCAGAGATTCGGGAACTGGTGTCTTAGTTAGGTTTTTCCGCTGCTGCAATAAGCCCCATACCAAAAGCAACTTGGAAAAGAAAAAAGTTTAGTTGGCTTATATGTCCTAATCACAGTTTGGTGTTACCAGACCTCTGAAGAATGAAACCGCTTTCTCATGCCTAGACCCCCAAAGCTAGGCACAATCTTGTGACATGGGGGTACGGCAGCAAAAGTCTGAGGTGAGCTTGACACAGAGATATAAGCCAAATTTTTACAGAAAAAAATTCAAAAGCAATTGATGTTCTGAAATAAAAACAAAAAGTACATTTATTGGAAAATATGTTATTTATACGATATGGCTTCTCTTTTCAAATGATAGCCTCCCAGCACACAGATAGCATGCACCTGTAAATTCTAGCGCTCCAGAGGCAAAGACAGAAGGGTCACAAGGTCAAGGCCAGCCTGGGTTACATAGGAAGACCCTATCAAATGAGGAGGAGCAGAGACGGAGACAAGGAAGGGGAGGGAGAGGAGGAAAATAGTGGGGGTGGTAGAATAACAGCAACAGAAGATGGAGCAGGAGGAAGAAGAGGAGGAGGGGGAGGAGGAGGGGGAGGAGGAGGAGGGGGAGGAGGGGGGGAGGAGGAGGGGGAGGAGGAGGAGGAGGAGAAAAAGCAGCTGATGGTGGTGGTGCGCACACACCTATAATCCCAGCACTCGAGAAACAGAGGCAGGAGGAGTGCCTTGAGTTTGAGATCACCCTGATTACACAGCAAGGCCTGGAACCCGAACCAGGATCCTCTGGAAGATGAGTGTGCACTTTTACCTGCTGAGCCATTGCTCCAGTCCATTGCTGAGCACAGAAAGTGATCCTTTATAGCATTTCAGTGCTAATTATGCACGTTCAGTATCCAAAGATTTATGTTTGTTTTTTATATATCTTCCGGGCATTCTGGACTCATGAGGATGATGTTGTTGCAGGGTTTTGTTTTATTTAGTTAAGTTAAACAAAACTTTGAATTAAGAACATGGTGATAATGCCAGGTGTAAGAGCTCATACCTTTAACTCCAGTACTTGAGAGGCATACGGATCTCTGTTAGAGGCTAGCCTGGTCTACATATCAAGTTCCAGATCAGCCAGGGATACATAGTCAGATCCTGTCTCAAAACAATCAAAAACAAAGCAGAAGAACACAGTGGCATGTACCTAGAATCCCAGAACTCCAGAGACAGAGGCAGGATTGTGAGTTGAAAGTCAGCTTGGGCAATACTGCAAGATTGTCTCAAAAAGCAACAACAAAAAGACACACATTTAGGTCTAAGTCAGTGTGTTAGTTACTGTTCTATTACTGTGATAAATCATCATGATCAGAGCAATTTGTAAAAGAAAGTGTTTACTTGAGGTTAATGATTCCAGAGGATTCGCATCCACACTTTTGGAATAAAGGCATGGTATCAGAAACAGTTGGGAGCTCACAGATGGAACTGCAAGCAGAAGGCAGAGAGCATGCTGGGAATGGCACCAGTTTTCTGAAACCTCAAAGCCCACCCCCAGTGATCCACGTCCTCCAACAAGGCCACACCCACTAATCCTTCCATAACAGTTCAAACAACTGAGATCAAAGAATTCAAACATAGCACAGTGGTGGCACATTCCTTTGATCCCAGCACTCAGGAGGCAGAGGTAGGAGGAGTTTGTGAGTTTGAGGCCAGCCTGGTCTACAAATGGAGTTCCAGGACAGAGCTGTTACACAGAGAACCCCTGTCTCAAAAAAACAAACAAAGAATTCAAATATATGAGCCCATGGGGTCATTCCCATCCAAACCACCACAGTCAACTCTTGAGATATTACATTTCCAATGAAAAGGAACAATGCCAAGTAGGCCATTAGGGGGGAGTGGGGAGGAAAGCATATCTCTATTAGCAGTTGGACAGGGAAAAGAGGGATGTCATTCACAGACACCACCAGTTCTCGGATTTCTTCTCATTCCCCAATGTTCAGTCTTACCTGGCCCCAAAACTGTTGAAGTTTATATATATATGTTTTTAAGATGATATGGATGAAGAATAACAACTTAAATATATAGTCATGTCCCTCTGAATTCCCAAAGTACATATAAAAACAATAGCAATAAATGTATTGACGGTTTACTTTGACCCGGACATATTCATATTTAGTCATTACAATAACCCTCTAAAGGCATCAACTGTCACTGCTTTAGAATCTCACGGTCAAACGCCAAGCCCCAGGGGTCCTATCCTATGTTCTGATACCTGCCTGTAACAACAACAACAAAACAACCCAGTCAATCTTCTATCATGACAGACCTGTACAGGGCAATGATATTTACTGTTTCAGCACAAGCCAGTAATTTAACATCAAACCAAAGTACAAGAAATGCCAAGTGTAGGCTAGGCATAGTGGCACAGCCATTAAACTCAGCACTTGGGAGACAGAGGCTGGCAGATCTCTGGGCGGTCTAAGCCAGGTTGGTCTGGGTAGTGAGTTCCAGGCCTGTCAGGGCTATGTAGAGACCCTCTCTGAAAAAAAAACAAACAAACAAAAACAAACAAGAAAGAAAAAGAAAAACTCGAAAAGGACTGCAGTAGATAGCACATTTCCACAGCTGATAAAAATCAAATCTCTACGACTCAAATACAAACCAGGCGTGTAAGTATCCAGCTAATACAGTTGCTCATATGTGGTCCTGTAATTATTCTATCTGGACTGATGACTATGCAGGGTACTCTCCTACCCGCAAAAGGTTAAAACCACAGCCTTGTAAAGTGCTGCTGGCTGCCAGGAATCCTGCCAGGAATCGGGGAGTTTACAGCGCCGCGAGGCCTTTTTAATGCCACTTTGGAACATTTAGCATAAAATTCTTCATTTGCATTCCAAGGATCAACAACACCCAACATGGTGCATTGTTTAACGGTGTAAGTCGGACTTTCAATTCCCTAGCGTTTAATTCAGCTGTCACCTAATAAGTTCATGATCGTGTGCACATTTAACCACGTGAAAAATTAGGTTAGTAACAGAGAGGTTTGTGGGAGGAATTCAGTGTAAGTTCTTAACAGAAAACCTGGAACATACTCGGAAAGACAACTAATAAGTGGAAGAAAAAGTAAACCAATTAGGCTTTATATTTATTAAATTGCTAACTATAATAATTATTAGCTTTCGGTCATGTAAATCTGATTTTTGTTACGGTATTCTCCCGTTTTACACAGGGAAACGAGCCAAGGCTCAGAATTCTCCAGCACCGACGAAGACAAAGGAAGTCAACACGTTGTCTTCACCTGCCCACCCAACTCTCAGCCCCGCCCCTGCCCCTGCCCACTGGTCCCCGCCCCCAACACGCTCCTCCCGCGCTGGTCCCCGCCCCCAGGCCCGCGCAGGTTTAAGACCACGCCCCTTCTGGCGACCAAGCCCCTCCCATGTACGGCTTCCGTCGCAAAAAGATGTACATAGAGATCGCTTATTGGCTGCTAGCAAACACTCCCTCTTCTCATTAGTTGATACCGTCCGGGTCGAAGTTCCACGGAAGATGCTTTTAGCTACTTGGCCTGAGGGTCACAGGCACGTGCACTTCCGTTTCCGGTGTGTCCTGCAGCCATGGCTACCGCCAAGGAGGTGAAATTTCTACTGACGTGCTGCAGATCGTGCCGCAGCCTTCGGGGACCCCAGTCCCGAGTAAGTGCATCCTTCCTCTGCTGGCAAAGAGCTGGGTTTCCAGAGCCATCCCTCGGAGGAGGAGCGACCTCGGCAATGCCTCCCGCAGCAAGCACCTGCACCCTTTCTGTTTCTTTCGCGGTCTGCAGGCATTCGCTGCCCTTGTGCCCGGTGTGTCCCAGGTAGACAACAATTCCGATTTTCTGGGGAAGAAGCCCCATCGTAAGCATCCCGGCATCCTGCGTCTTCCGCACGTGCGGCTCCCGCAAGCACTGGCTAACGCCGCGCAGTTACTGCTTCTTGGTGAGAAACTGCGGGAATGGGGAACCAAAGAGACAAAACGAGGCCAGCACGTAGTGATGGGTCTTTCCATCTGTGGCCACAGAGAGACCCGTCCGCAGTGTAGAGAAGCAGGTGCAGGCACTCAGCAACTATCTCTGGAGCCGACACTTGCCAGTAGAGCCCGAGGAGTTGCAAAGACGCGCTGCGGATCTTGAGAAAAAATTCCTGGAAAACCAAGGTAGGATTTAAGACTAAAAGTAAACCAGATTGAAATGTCAGTGAGAAGTTAGGGGCAAGGAATAATTTAAATCTCTCAGATCAATGCTGTTGTTTCTTATTTGATGTAGTAACAGCAGTTGTTATCTGATGCCTACCGGAAGGTAGACTGGGCCAGAGGTTGCCCTTGGAGATTGAATAAAGGTCAGAGATTTCGATCTTTGGATTTTTTGTTTTCTTGATTTTTTTTTCTCTACCTCTTCAAGTCTGGAAGATTATGACTACATGTTGATTCAGGTAAAATAAAGGCCGTATGGGTGCCTGGCTAGTAAGTACTGAAACTCACTTCAGGAGTAGAAAATGATTACATTTAAGATTATTTTCAAGATTGTGAACTTAATATTGCAAATTTGCACTTTATTCTTGTATTCTCTGCATTTCCCGCAATACCTGGTTCAGAGTAGGTGTCTTAGTGTTCTGTTGCTATGAGGAGAACCGTGACCACGGCAACTCTTATACAAGAAAGCATTTTAACTGGAGCTGGCTTACAGTTTCAGAGATTTAGTCTCTTGTCAGCATGTATTCAGACATGGGGCTGGAGAAGTAGCTGAGAGTTCCACATTTGGATCTGCAGGCAACAGAAAGAGAGAGACTTTGGGCTTGGCATGGCCTTTTGAAACCTCAAAGCCTACCTCCAGTGATACACTTCCTCCAAAAAGGCCACACCTCCTGATCCTTTCAAATAGTGCCATTCCCTGGTGACCAAGCATTCAAATCAATGAACCAATGGGGACTGTTCTCAGTCAAACCACTGTAGTGGGTATTTGTAGAATTTTACTATGTGGTACTGAGCTCAACACAGTCATGAGACTTAGACTTTCAAGCCCATTTCTATGGGAATATTGAAAGTGTCTCACTCCTAAGTGTAAGGGAAGTGAAAATGTCCATAAAAAATGCCCTTATTCTAGCTTTTAAGTTTTTATTGCATGGGCAGGAGAGATGGCTCAGAGTAAAAGTCCTTGCCACCAAATCTGATGACCTTCTACCAAATGGTTGGAGGTAAGAGTTGACCCAGATCTAATCGCACACAATACATAAATGTAAAAGTTTTTAAATTTTTATCAGACTTCTGTTTACTATGAAGCAAAACTTAGATAGGTTAAGTTGACTAAAGTACTTATTAGAGGCAAGATACTGTCCGATACACTCTGGCTACGGTGGTGGTTTACTCTCTCCCGAGGTTTTCTCTGGGTCTGACCTCTCTGAGCTTTGAGCACTTTCTCAGGTGAGAGTGGAGGAGGATTGGGTAGGCAGTGTACTACATTGGATCTGACCAGTTCTCGCTGGTCCTCACCTCCAGCCCTTCTCACCCTAGACTCGACTCAGACAGAGGAAAAACTTCGCGGGGCAGTGCTGCAGGCGCTGCGCAGAACCACCTACCATTGGCAGAGACTCAAGTAAGGACTGGCAGGAAGTGTACAAAGAAGAAAGGTTGAATCTGAGGAGCGCTAAGAGAATTAGTCACCTTGTGATGGAGAGCGCACCCTGGACACTGTTCTGTATTGGAAAGTGAAACCCAGAAGAGTCTTTTCCAAATTTTTCATTTCCTAAACTTTCTGGGGTCACTGTGGGGCTGGGTTTATTTCCTAGTGGGGATGACTCTGATTTTTTTTTCTTTTTTTTTTTTTTTTGCAGCTATAATGAGGAACTGAGTCTGATATATATGGCAGCCAGATTGGATGGTGGCTTCGCAGCAGTTTTCAGGGCCTTCCATGAGGTGCAAGTCTCTCAGCTTCCCACCTGACCCCTTTTATCATTGGTTCTATTCTCTGTAAATTAGTCTTTTGTGATAGGAGTCCTTGGAATGTTATGAGCACATTAATTTATCCTTTAAAAAAATTCTGTGAGAAAGGTTTAGAATCACTGAGATGTTTCCCATCTCAAAGTATTTCTATTGACTCTCCAGATCCAGGCTCGAATTCCGGAGTTCCAGCCACAAACGTTGATGGACTTTGGATGTGGCACTGGTTCTGTTGCCTGGTAAATGGCTTTCTTAACCCCTTAGTCATGTCTGTTCATTCTAGAGAGTCAGATTTCCTATACCACCTCAGTATCAAGAAACTGGGATACTAGAGAACAAGCAAGCTGGACATAGAATGTTGCTGCCCTTGGATTAGGCAAGGCAGAAGACGATGTCTGTGTTAGGGTCAGAGTCAAAGAAGTAACCCATGAAAAAGGCTCAGTGCTCGGGTTCAAAGAGAAAGCAATTTAGTGTGCGGAGTAGATTTCACGTACCAGTCAAATTTTTTTTGTCTACAAGTCAGTTTTGGAATCATCTGCCTTTTATTTCAAAAGCTGTAAATGCACTAAGAAAATAACACTCTTAGTTTATCTGTGTGAATGTAGTGTCAGTTTATCTGTGTGAATGTAGTGTCCTGATTCCCCAGGGGTGGGATTGAGAGCAGGTGGGTCTCTTGGAGGAATGTCTGTGTGTCATAAAAGTTGGTGGTTTTCATCTTGCCATCTCAGGGCTGCTCACAGTACTTGGGGCCAGAGCCTCCGTGAATATGTGTGTGTGGACAGTTCAGCTGCCATGTTGGGTTTGGCCGAAAAGCTACTAAAAGGTGAGACCAAGTTCTAATCCAGGGATTTCCAAAAATTGGGGGAATTAGGAAAGTGTTTTATTGGGACATAGAGGAGAAAGCTATAAATTAAGATAATCTGGGCTCCTTCCATTACTATAGTGAAGCACTGTTAGGGGCCTTCGTGGGACTCGGAATGGTTGGATGGGGTTAGTAGGCCACCTTGTTAGTATTCCCTTACAGTCCTGCACCTCTGGGCTGGTGTCATCATCTGAGGCATGTCTCTTAGTTGAGTGTAAGCTTCTGGCTGTAAAGTTGCTGTTCACTCTCAGCTGCCGCATCTTTCTTCCATAGGTGGTTCAGAATCAGGGAAGCCCTGTGTCCCAGGTGTCTTTTTCAGACACTTTCTTCCTGTGTCACCCAAGGCAAGTAGCAAGTAGGCTCTTCTCGGATATAGTGTGGCAGATAGACAGCTGCGGTTGCAGCCTTGAAATCCCTCATTGTGTGTTGGAAGACAAAGAAGCAGTAGAGGAAATTTAAAACTAGGCATCGTGGCGCACACCTGTAATCTCAAGACTCAGGAGCTGAGGCAGGAGGATTACCATTAATGCGGGTCCAAGCTGGGTTACATAATGAGACATCTTGCGGTCAGGAGGATTTCGAGGCTAGGCATTTGTGGTGCTTTGGGAGATGTCAGGTCTGTTGCGTCCCTTGTCTGGGTCCTCAGGTCCAGTTTGATGTGGTCGTGTCGGCCTTCGCCCTCAGTGAACTGCCAAGCAAGGCTGATCGCACTGAGGTAGTCCAGAACTTGTGGCGTAAGACAAGCCATTTTCTGGTGAGTTGAAATCCTTTTCCCTCAAGTTCTGTGGGTCTGTGCCTTGCCCTCTCGTCATCAGGTAGTATTTCTCTTTTCTAGGTCTCTGTGCACTTTCTTAGGGTATCTATCCATCTCCTTTTACACAGTGCCCTGACAGAGCTGCTGACCTTTGTTTCATGGGATTCAGAGTGCCTGCTTGTTTTCTCTGTCTGTAAACAGGTGCTGGTAGAGAACGGAACAAAAGCTGGGCACCGTCTTCTCATGGATGCCAGGGACCTGGTCCTCCAGGTGAGGTTCCTCAGTCCTCCACCTTTCTGTCGTAAGTGACTGTTACTGCCCTGGGAGCTGATGACTGTGACACATTTGTAATGGTGACTCATGATAAGCAAAGTGGTTGGCCAATGAGAATTTCTAGGTCAAAGCCAGCACAGCACCTGTTGCCCTGGGAGCTGCACATATTCATGTCTCTGACGGCGTTCACACTGCGGGCTGCGGTTAAGTACCTCAGAGACAGGTGTTGCTCACTCCTCCGTCCTTTCAAAAACTACTTTGCTGATTCCTGATGGAAGGTGTTGCTGACGCCAGAACCTTGTCTCAGTGAAACCGTGTGAGCCAATATAGAATCCTAAATGTAATTGTGCGCCAATGAGGGTTTTTTTGAGTTGCTGATGGGAGAATACAGTACCAAGTGCCAAGTCCCTGCCCTTCTGCTGTGGTGAAGACAGTTCATTGTTTGGCACGTTAGCGCTGTAGCCAGCTTAACTTGACGAACTTGGCTTGTCGATATTAGAATTATTGTGAGGAGCCCTCGCTTCTCCACGTGCAGAGGTTGGATTTTGAAGGTGGAGCCCACAGGTTCAGCTGTATTTCCTCGATTGCAGGAAAAAGAGAAGTCCCCTTTGGACCGTCAGCCTGGCTTTGTCTTTGCCCCAGTAAGTACCACTTCCTCCTGTTCTGTCTCGTAGTCGAGAAGAGCAAGCGGGTGAAGCTCAGCCGTTCTCCTCGCCTTTGTCCTCCCTGCCTCTCCCGGTGATTGCCGCTGCTTTCCCGGCCCCTCGCTCCTGTGCGCCCTTCTTCCTGGCCCCACTGACACTTTACCATTTTAAATATACTTTTAAAGTCTTTATTTCTAGATACTGTTAAATTTATTTTACGTTTCATTGTGTGTATGATGTGGGTGCGTGTGTGCATGCTACAGCGTGCTTGTGGAGGTCAGAAGACAGCTTCCGGGAGTCTGTCCTCTCCTTCTCTGATCCGATTCAGGCCGTTGGGTTGTGCAGCGAGCACCTTTGCCAGGTGAGCCCTCCCCCCAGCCCTAACACCATGGATGCGTCTTGTGTGTGTTCACAGTGTCCCCATGAGCTTCCTTGTCCTCAGCTGACAGCCTCCCAGCCACTGGCCTGCAGCTTCTCCCAGGCTTACCATCCCATCCCCTTCAGCTGGGTATGTAGGGTATGTATGTATGCTCGGAGTGCTGCACAAGGAGAAATAGCCTGGGAGAACAGGGGAGAGAGAGAGAGAGAGAGAGAGAGAGAGAGAGAGAGAGAGAGAGGTGGGAAGAGCTGGAGCTCTGTGTGATTTCTAGACTGTGAGAAAGGACTTCAGGCACGGAAGGGGAAGGGAGCTAAAAGGTTTGTTCCCTCTAAATAGCTCCTGTATTCTTCTTTTAGAATAAGAAGCCGAAAGAGGAAACGTTCTCTATGGCAATCCTGGCAAGGGGCTCTCCGAAGGAGGCTAATCGCTGGCCCCGTGTCACCCAGCCTGTCCTTAAACGGCCTCGCCACGTGCACTGCCACCTCTGTTGTCCAGACGGGCACATGCAGCACGCTGTGGTTACAGCCCGTCGGCATGGCAGGTATAGGAGTTACGGCCAGTTGGGGAAATGTAACAAGAACCGACAGCCCATGCTAATGCCTCTTTCCCGTGCCGTAGGGATCTGTATCGCTGTGCCCGAGCCAGCTCCTGGGGAGACCTTTTACCTGTGATTGCTCCTTCTGTGTTTCCTCTGTCCCCTGCTGAAGAGCCCACCGAGAGTTGATAAGGATGCTAAGGATGCGTGACAAGTGTCTCCCTCCATCACGCCTGCCAAGGCTGAAGCTACCTGGTGTCCAGGAAGAGAGTGCTGGTACCCTGTGCTTGTAGTTGTTTGAAATTTTCATAATAAATTTTTTAAGAACAGAGGTGGATTTTATGATTCTTTAAAGACACAGGGGGTGGTTGTCCTGGCCTAGCTATAATGAAGGGAAAGCTGAGCTCTCAGTCAGGGAGACCTCGGCTTCTACCAGAGACACTTCCTTGAAAGATGGCTGGCCTGGTGGGGAAGGACACCTCAGGCCCTGTGAGAACTGGCTCAGCAGGTCTCAACCAGTGCTTGTGTGGGCCTAGTAAGTGGGAACTAGCAGTTAGCTGACTTCTTTACCCCTGTCTCTCTGCCAAGGTGGCCTTCCCCGGAGTTTGCCTCCTGTTTCTCTCAAGGTTGGTCCCTTCAGAACTAAACCTTCCATCTCGACCCTTATCTAGATCTCATCAGAATGCTTCTGTTTATTTGGTTTGTTTCCTTTTTCCTGTTTCCTTTCTAGAACAACCCCAGTTCACAGCAGGAAATGTTAACAAACCCCCGAATCGGTCAGGAGGGTACCACCAGGAAGGCAGGGGCACTCTCACTCAGCGGAATTATGAGCTATAAAGGGGAAGTGGCAAGTTGGTACCGTCACAGGTTTGGCTAAAAATCAAGGTGCTTGGCTCTCTTGGCATTGATGGACATCTGGTGGACCATTGAGCAACCTGAGGTTCTGCACACCAAGCTTGTAAAGTGTCCTGTGTGACAAAAACGACAAGGTTAACGGTTGATAATTATGGGAATGGCACCAGGGACATGGCACAGCTTATCTTGGCCAAAAGGAAGACGACGCTCTGCCTGGGCTTTTTGTGTTTGAAGTTTGTGGGTTTCTTTAAACTTTAGAGAAAGAGGAGTGTTTAAACTTTCATACCAGGAACAAACAAATGATGATTTCGCTGGTGGGGCTTCATTACAGAAACAACACAAAGTGGTGACGGCTGGGGCATAGCAGCCCATGCCTTTAATCAGAGGCAGGGGAATCTCTGTGTTTATCAAGGCCAGCCTGGTCTACATAGTTCCAGGCTAGCCAGGTCTACATAATGAGACTCTGTCTCAAAAAAAAAAAAAAGGAACAGTATATCTGTGTCGTAACACTAGGAGTCTTCACTCCTCTCTGGAGATTTCCAGGCCTGGAGCTATTTTTCTGGAATTAGAGGCAAGGGGAATCCCTTCACTCGCTAGTTCCCACAGAAGAGTAGCAGCCCTCTGCTCAACCCCACCCCCTCTACCCTCAAGTGGCCCCAAATCCTCTCTGAAAGGGTTCATCAGTTCAAGTATCAGCATAGCAGCCTGTAAGACTTGGCATAAGGTAGAGTATGGAAGGCTTAGATTAACTGTCCTGACTGCGGCAGGACCACATTGCCCCACACATAAATTAGCTGGGACATAACTACCATAGATTGTCCCATTTGAGGTTAGATCAACCCCAGACATGAACTAAGATTCCTCAGAGCTCTTGGATTAGTCACAGCGTTGAAGAGAAGATTTCACGGAGCTACACCTGGCAGGGAGTCTGGAGTTTCTGGTTTGGAAGCTCAGGGAGGCGGGAGGCAGGGGAGGGGCCTCTAGTTAGTGGGAGGGCTGGTGACTGGAGCTGAGCCCCAGTCAGCTATGTGGCCCAGGCCTGTGGAAGTCCGGACCGTCCAGGACAAAGGATAGCAACAGTCTCCTGAATTCACTCAAGGGAACACTCCACTTGGGTCACCTGAACTGCTGCTCACTGCATTTGTCATTCTGAGGTCTCTGCTTATCCTACACCCCAAAGATGGAGGTACTGCTGGAAGTGAAAATTGGCTGCCTGCTTGCCCTTCTGGTTCTCACCCTGGGCTGTGGCCTTACTCCCATCTGCTTCAAATGGTTCCAGATGGATGCAGCTACAGGTATAGCCCCACTCTGTCTCTGTCCCTTACACCAAGGCTTAACCCAGCCCTTCCCTGACATCTGGCTTGGGTTCTCACAGCCCCCAAAGACATCGGGTGCTCTCTGTTGCTCTTCATTCATTCCCACTTATCTCGTTGCTAACTGAAGAATCACTTTGGCTTTCTTCTTAGGTCGTCACTACAGAGTTCTCAGCCTGCTGGGCTGCGTCTCTGCCGGGGTCTTTCTGGGCGCAGGGTTGATGCATATGACTGCTGAAGCCCTGGAGGGAATTGAATCAGAAATTGAGAAATTCATGGTGCAGGTGGGTAGCAGAGAAATCAAGTGAGGGGCTATGGGGCCAGAGTGATCACCAGAGGCTGGGAGGAAAGCGGGAAGCAGACGAGCACAGAGCGTATGGTCAGCAGCTGTTGATAGAAGGGTGGACGGTGGTCAGGTTGGGCTTCCAAGGAAAGCTTGATTGCTGAAAGGGCGGGACAGGAGCTAGCGCTGCCTCAGACGCAGTCTGATTTCTGTTTCTGTCTCCCTAGAATAGCACAGGAGGTAAGGGAAATTCTTCTCATGATGCCGCTTCCAGTTTCGTAAGTATCTATTAGCGCCTATCTGGAGAGTGAAGAGAACCAGGGACTGTTCGTGCCCTTCTGATTTGTGAGGAGTACCAGGAACCTCTTCTCAGCCCAAACCATGCAAAGAAAGAAGGCGCCAACCTAACCCTTTGTGGGTGGGCCCTCAGAGGAAGCTCCTGCTCTACTCTGTCCGTCCTGCCCTGGACCCTCTAACATACTCACGTTAGCTTCCGCTGTGTCTAACCCAAGTGCCGGTTGGCCCCTCAGCCCCTCTGGGTCTCTCACTCTGCATGCCTGCTCAGCCTCGTTCCCTCTCCTGCTCTGTTGCTGCTTTTCCCTGTTGTCCTCTCTCCCCTGACCGGTGTCCCCCCGGGGTACTGTCTCCTTCCCTTCCTGGCTCACGGGCGTCTTTCTGTTCCTAGGTGGAGTATCCCTATGGAGAGCTCGTCATCTCCCTGGGCTTTTTCTTCGTCTTCCTTTTGGAGTCGCTGGCGCTGCAGTACGGTCACGGGCATGCTGGAAGACCCACCGTGCAGGAAGAGGAATGGGGAGGGACCCACGCCTTTGGATTCCACAAGCCCCCGCCTGTGCCTTCCCCCTCACAGGGTCCCCTGCGCGCCCTCATCCTCCTGCTCTCCCTGTCCTTTCACTCCGTGTTTGAAGGTCTAGCTGTGGGACTGCAGACATCAGTGGCCGCTACTATACAGCTCTGGGTTGCTGTTCTGGCTCATAAGGGGCTCGTGGTGTTCAGTGTAGGCCTCCGGCTGCTGAAGATTGGCACCGGGACGTGGTGGGCCGTGTTCTGCATACTGTCATTAGCACTCACGTCTCCTGTGGGCCTAGCCCTAGGAATGACTGTAGCTGGAGGGGCCTCAGGACCAGCGCAGGGATTAGCCCAGGCTGTATTAGAGGGAGTGGCAGCTGGCACATTCCTGTATGTCACCTTCCTAGAAATTTTGCCCCGGGAGCTGGCCTGTCCTGAGGCCCCTCTGGCCAAGTATGGCTGTGTGGCGGCTGGTTTTGCCTTCATGGCTCTTATTGCACTGTGGGCCTGAGAGATTCTTCACTGCTCTGATGGACCTATCTAGGATGGCTTCTCCTGAGGACACCCCTAAATGACTTTGGTCCTCAGGCATTTTTTCAGTGAGACTAAGCATTTACTAGGCACGGACTATCCCAGATTTTATATGTGTGAGACCCTGTTCTTGCTCAAGACTTAGAAAGGATGTTTTGTCTGAGTGCCTGTTTAACTGGAACATTGGTGTGAAGACCATCACTCCGGAGTTGCTCTTATGTGTAATAAAATGCCCATTTTACCCTTTCCCTTCAACCATGCTGTAATTCACATCTCTGATAGGGAAAAAGGAGTGTGGGTAGAACTGGGACCTGTAGTCATTTCAGTGGTTACAGGCCATCCCCCCAGACATAGAAGGATTGCTAAAACTTCAACAGCCCTTTGTTCCCTTACCCATGGGAGCTGAGAATTAGAACAGCATTTAGAGGAGGAAGGGTGTCTAAAACCAGAAACCAGGGGCTAGGTATTTTTCCTTCACTAACTACCTCACCCACTCTCAGTGTCTGCCTGTCATCCCCACCAAGTTCCTATTTTCACACTGAGTCTTGTGTGGCCTCAGGGACACTCTTGCTATTCTCTGAGCTTCTCTCTTTCTGGCTGCCATAGGCTGAAGGATTAAAGCCAGTGTTTGCAGAGGGGGAACATCGCCAGATAAATACCTAGGATGATTACTCTGAGGTATAAGCACTTAGTGACTTTCCTTCTCCTGCCTGACCAGCTGCTACTAACGACAGTGCCCAAAGTAGCTCGCCTGGAATTGAGGAGGGACAGGGTAACTGCTCCCTGCCCTCGCCTGGCATCTCACACTTGGTGAAGAGACGAGGAAGGAAAGATGTGCCCGGAAGCTCACTGGCCCTCACCAGTTTGCCCCTTCTTGATTTTCAGTGTGATAGCCCAAATAGCCTTAACATGAACAAACTCTCCTGAATCCTTCTTGTCTTGTCTCTGTCTCCTTTCTGCCCTATTCCCCCCCTAAAAAAGTGAGACGTCTAAATCCGGTCTCCACAACCAGGGATCCATGAGAAAGCAACAGGTGGGCAAAACCAGGAGAGGGGGAGGGGGAGCTCCTCCCTGGAGCTCTGTCCTGGTGTCCTCTCCGCAGCAGATGCAGGGAGTGAGGTGCCCAGGAGAACCTGGTGTGTGCCAGTGCACTGGCCTCGGCAGGGAACACCTGCAGCGTGACAGGTGCTGTGCTACTGTTTGTACACACATCACCTCACTGGCACAACTCCAGCAGCGACATTATCCCTCTAGTAACCCGGGAAAACTGGCATTCAGAAAAGGTAAATAGTTGGATCACTTAGCCAGTGGGGCCTCAAAACTCACTTTCCTATAACTGGATGAAAAGCTCCATAGAGTCTTTCCTTCCTTGTGGATTTCCTCCCAAACAGCCATGTTCACCCTGTATGTTAGAATCCCAGATCAGCTCAGAGAGTGTGCAGCATAATTGAGGAAGCTGAATGGAAGGGTGTTCAGTAAGGTGTGTGTGGGCAGGGTTCAGACAAAGCAAGGAATGTACAAAGGACTGTACAATACCCTGGAGCTGAGTAATCAGCATGCTCTTAGTAGAAACTGGAAAGGACCGGCCCAGACAGCTGTGTCTTTGATCTATAGGGACCCAAGCCGGAAGGTGCTAAAATAAATTATTTCCTTGTTCTGATTTGCTAGTGTCTTATTGAGTAAAACCAAACAGAATCCTGAGGCTAGAAATGGCTGGTACTGCTCTGGTCAAGCCACAGGAACACGGAGCTGTCCTGCACGTCATCATGGCCTGCTATGTTTACATTGAAATGATCTTGCCAGAACTTTGGCAGGGTAAACTGAAAGAGCTGGGCTTGTATGGAAGCTAGAGAATTATCCCCATCACAGGAACGTGTCTAAATGTGAAAGGAACCTGAAGGAGAAGCGTCCTGGCCTGCTGTGGCTCTCCCAGTGTCTCTGGACCACTGGTGCTGTCAGATACCTCAAGCTGCTGGTGAGTCGTGAGCTCTGTCCTCATCCCTCCCAGGAACTCCGGATTCCCCGTTGGCCTCTTCTCCAAAGCCACCAATATTTTCTTTCCTCCCCATATCTATTTCCTCCTTTTCCCCCAAATTCTTACCAACCAGGGCCAGACATGTGTTTAGTTGGAAGAATATTGTGTCAAGAGCAGACATAAAGCTAGAGGGTGGCTCCATCTGGAGAACACCAGGGAGAGTGTCTGGACCAACAGAAGGACAGACTGCTTTCAGAAAGCACAAATGAAAACAGCACGGAATTGGAACTGGCATTAAGAACCACGGCAGAAAGAAGGTGGGCAGCTGCGGGCGGCTGGCGCAGCCTTAGGATGGCTGGAACAGAAGATGACTAGGAACATGAGACCTCAAGAGGAGGAAAGGGGATCCAGGCTAGTGGGATAATCAGGAATGTGTGTGTGTGACAATTTTCACACCTTCCTGTGATGATGTAAAACAGAGGAAGTTTTCTCTGGGGCCACATAGGAGTGGCTGCGGCCCAGAAAAGATTGAGGTTACCACACATTCCATGTTCCACCATGGTGACAGCTTCGTGGTTTGTAGTTGCTTTTGTTTGGATCAGTTGGTTTTTGTTTTTGTTTTTTTGTTGGTTTGGTTTTTGTTTGTTCATTTTGAGTCAGAGATTTTCTATGCAGCTTTGCTAGCCTGAAACTCACCATATAAACCAGGCTGGCCTCAAACTCCAAGAGATCCACCTGCCTCTGCCTCCCAGGTACTGGGATTAAAGGGGTGCAAGACCATACCCAGCATTCATCATTTTTTTTTATATAGTAACAGGACAAAGTCATAAGTCAAAACTTCAAAGGCCTCGGATGCTGTCTGATGACAGTCTTAGTTTTCAGGGTTAATGAAAGTTAGTGATCTATTAATTCATCCCAAAAGATTCTACCTGATAGTCAGAAACTTGTCAAGTCAGACACAAAGGCGAGTAATGAATAGCTATCTAGGGGGCTAAAGAGAGCCGAAGGTACACTGTAATTAAGCACCAGACCTGCAACATGCCAACCTCTCCACAGTCATTTAAGTTCCCATCTTCTCATCAGCCTCGTAGAATGTTCAGTGTGCGAACTTCTTTCCAGGAACTTCAGTTCACACTGTCACTCTGTCCGTCTCTCACAGTCTCCCCCTCGTATATTTTGTATATAAGTGGGGAGAAAACTCAAGCATTAGGCTTCCAACCCACCTCCTGCAGAGAGCCAGCTTTCTATTTCTGCTACCAATGCGCTATCTTCTGAAGTTAACCTTTCTGTGAGCTTTCCTGCCTCTCCTTTGCTGCGAGGCTGGAGGATAGGTTTCCTTTGGTTTGGATGTTGCAGTCACAAGAAGGTAATTTGTGAAGAATGCAAAAGAAACCAGAGTTGAGAGAGTTTACTGGAGCCGGGCAGGTTGTCAGCCAAGGATCCACATGTTTGAAAGCTGCTTATTTGGTGTGCATGAGGGCTTGGGTTTGATCCCCGGTACCCCAGAAAGAGAGGGGTGAGCTAAAGCCCAGACTCATGTGCTGGGATAGCTCATGCCTCCTGGTCCTTCCCTGAAGAAGTTGTGGAGTATCTTGTCTCCCTCACAACAGAGGATAGTCCCTTGTTCTTAGATACAATGAACAGCTGCCAGAACTTAGTGGGATGGGATGTGTGTGGACACCGTCTAGTTCGCTAACTAACCTGAGGGTAGCCCATTGCTGCTAGCAAAGGAAAGGCAAAATGGATTATGCCTCAGGGGCAGTCTGTGGGGACCCTTACAAAGTCCTGGCTGTAGAATACTTTTTGTTTTGTGTTCTTAGTGACTCTCCTTTGTCGTATGTCAAACACAGAGTGTGCCCTACATTTCCTAGGGACTCATCATTAGAGTCTACCAGCAGAGAGATCTGGTTAAAAATAAGCTACATTGTTCTGGCCACCAGACTTCCTCACCAAACCCGTCTTTTCCAGTTATTCCTAAATCTCTTTTTAAAAAGTGCTGTCTCCTACTCCAATATTTCCCCTCGCTATGTTTTTTCTTCCACCCTGCCTACTGTAATGTCACTGTTTTGTTGGTATAATTATAATTGCTTAAAGATGGGGATATGTTCTGAGAAACATACATTAGATGATTTTTTTCTTGTTTGTCATTGTGAAACTTTAGAGAATGCACTATACAAACCAAGAAAGCTCTGGAGTCTGTAAGAGGATCTTACGGAACCATCATCACATATACAATGATAGATATATTGGGCTGACCAAAATGTCATTATGAAGCTCACTACTGTTCCTTGAAAAATGTCTTTATGAGGTGTGTGTGTGTGTGTGTGTGTGTGTGTGTGTGTGTGTGTGTGTTAGTTTTGGTGGGTTTTTGTTATTGTTGGTTTAGTTGGTTTTTCAAGACAGGGTTTCTCTGTGTAGCCCTGGCTGTTCTGGAACTCACTCTGTAGACCAGGCTGGCCTCGAACTCAGATCTACCTATCTCTGCCCGAGTGCTGGCATTAAAGGCATGCGCCACCGCCACCTCGCCAGGTTTTCTATATAAAACTGTAAGTCTCCTTTTCACTCTGTTCTTCTGATTTCTCATTCTCACTGAGTAGTCTCTCACCTTACCTGCCCCTAAAGTCTGGAGGACATTTACATTCCTTGGGAATAAAACAAGATTCAAACAGGAATCCCAAATCTAAAGAGGAGAGAGTAAGCTGGTACTTTGTAACTCTGCTTCTGTCAAATTGTACCGTGCCCCCCTGAGCCTCTGAGTTCTTAGCAGGCCTGGATTTCAGGACAGCCTATGGAGAACAATGGGGCTGTAATACATGGAAAGGGAGGGGCCAGGTAAAGTTATGGAGGACCTTGCTGACCACAGGGGGGCACTGTGTCTCCATGGGTGAACTAGAACATGGCGGGACATAAAATAGGGTCAATTTAGGACAGTAAATGCCCTCCCCCCAGTTCCTGCAGAACATTTTTCTCCTACCTTAGATTTCTGGAGGAGCCGAAACATCTATAGTTGTATGAGAATACAGGTACACTTAAATGAAATTTGTTCCCAGTTGTGAAAATTACTCTGCTGACAGTATGACCTTTGTAGGCAGATACCAAGCAAAGATCTGTCTTCCCTTCCATAATACACAAGAGCAGTACAGGCTGGTTGAGGCCTTAGTTCTTCGCCTTTTCCTCACGTTTTGCTAAACGAGCCCAGTGATTATAGCCATGCTCTGTTTTTCTTCAGTGTGGCATTTCAGCAGTCTCGGTTGTCTGACCCAACCTCCATCCAGGAGCTAACTCTAACCCTCTCTGACACTGGCCGACAACACCTAAACAGGATTAAGGGTTGGGCCACAGTTCAGTAATAGAGCACTTGCCTAGCATGTACAAGGTCCTGGGTTCAATCTCCAACCCAAGAAAGAACAGGAAAAAACATCAGCATCAAGGACATAAGCCTGTCTCACTACCATGTCTAAAAGTGAGCACTTGATACCAAGTGGCTCAGTCTGCCAGTCAATGTCCTTGGGAAAATGGTACAAGTGAGGTTTCCCTAAAGCAAACTTTGATAACCCCATAATTTTCTATCCACATTGTTCCTTCTGACACTTCTATAAAGTGCTGTCTTATTTTTACTTGTGTGTGTGTGTGTGTGTGTGTTCCTAAGTGTTTAAGTATATGTATGTACACCCACACGTGAAGGTCAGAGGTGGACTTTGAGTGTGTCCATCCATCACTCCACACCTAATTTTTGGAGACTGGGTGTTGTCCAGCACAACACCTAAATCAAACAGCCGCCATCGCCACGCCTGTTTGCAAAAGGTCCTCATAGCTAGGCGTGTTGACACGTAGGAAGGAAGCAGGGTCACTGGACCCCCACCTGAGAATCCAGCCACTCCTCCCAACCATTTCTGCACTGATTGATTCCTTGAGGCCTTGGAGTCTCAGAGAGGAGCTACAGTATAGGGCCTGGAAGACTAAGAGGGAGCCCCATCTGAAGAGCAATGGGGAGCCATCATCAATGCTGGGTACAAACCTTCCAGTGTGCCTGCCTGCCGTAGGTCACCCACAGTCTCTAAGCCTAGTTGGTTTCCCAGGGGGAACTCTGGTTTGTCATTGGGACCTCATAAGGAGGGACTAGACAGTGCCTAGTTCCAAACCCTCAGGAAGAAAATTCTCCCAACACTAGGTCCCAACCGAAACCTGTGCCCACTGACTGGCCAGACAGGCCAGGGAGTGAGCACCCAAGTGTCCTCCTGTCTCCGCCTCCCAGCACTGGGATTACAGGTGCACAATCAAACCCGGCTTTTTCCCTGTGTACCAGGGATCTGAACACAGGTCTTTATGGTTGCCCAAGGACTTTACCTTCTGAGCCATCTCCCCAGCCCCTCCCCCTTTCGCCTCAAGAGCGCAAGAATCAACCTACAACAGCTACAAGACATCTGAATCTCCACTGGTTGTTACTCATATTTGTTTAACAGGCTCTTGAAGAACTATGCATAGTTTAGCTACCAGATCCCCTGGATTCCACCAGTGAATAAAATCCTCAAAGGAAGTTCCCTTTTACTGTGTCTTTCTTGAGTCTTCCAAATGCCTAGTGCCCTTGGAGGCTAGAAGAGGGTGTTGGAGCCCCTGAAACTAGAATTATGAAACTAGAGTTGTGAGCTGCCATGTGGGTGCTGGGAATTGAACCCAGGTCCTCT